ATGTAATCATGCTTTGTCTTATCATGCCCGTGTTTTAAGTACAGGTGCTCTCCGAGTCTCAGAATCCCCTTTTCTGCTTTGACAACACCCGTGACCTCATCCTGATGCATTGCCGAAATTAAAGACCACAGCTTTTTGCTGATGCCCTCCGGTACAGGCTGGGCTAGGGAGCAGAGGGACTGGACCCTACTTCTACCTGGTTTAGCCTGGGCATCTTTCTGTGAAAGCCGGCACCTGGCCACATGCCTCCACAGCGACTTTCGCTTAAGCAATGCCCCACAGTCTATACAGTGCAAAAACTCACTGGATTTAACTGGGGAATTTGGCTGTTTAGCTGGGACTAAAGTTCCAATGCCGGCCTTTAAAACCTCAAAATTGTGCTCACGGTTTCCACTATTCCTGATCAAATCAAACTGAAGTTTACGTGCTTTAGATTTCACAGGTAGAGCCAATGCTCTGGCTACGTCACTTTCATTTCCATGTTTTCTAGTCAAATGACGGGACATTTTGTGGCAGGACATTGAACAGTAGAGGCAGAAGTGTCTCTTGCTGTATACTCGCCCCCCATTTTTCTTCTTTTGCAGCTGCATGATAACAATCTTATTTGCCTTTGGTTCGTCACTTTCCGAGTCTTGAAGAAAAGTGTTTTTGATTTTTCTTTTTCCATACTTTTTTACAGGTTTCTTCTTGACAGTTAAATCGTCAGAATCTGAGTCGACTTCATCAATTAGGGACTCTTGACTAAGCTGCACAAACAACAAATAATTTGTAATCATTCTATATAACAATTTGAAGTCATGACTTGTAGTCAGCACTTACCAGTGGTTTGTAAGCGTGCGCTTCAGTGTGCTCCTCCATGATTTCTTGCAGCCTAATGAACCACACACTTGCACCTTTTTCTAGCCTGACACCTGATTTCCTCTGTTGTGCTGCTCCATGATTGGCTCCAGCCTGCTGGACTGAAATTGCCCCAGTGTGCCCCTCCTTGATATCCCGCAACCCACCACCAGGGTTCCGACACATAACACACTTTTTTCAGGAAAGTAAACCTCCAGGGGTCCTTTCCATATTTTTACAGAGACTGCATAAGGACCGTTAGAAAAGCATTACCCATTGATTATTAAGCTTGGACCAGTGGGGTCCGGTGTTCGGGCCCCACCACGTAAAACCAGTCCCCATGACGTGAGTGGAATCTCAGGTTATGGAACCCACCAGGAGTTGAAAACAAGTGCACACACACACACAGACCTACACATGCATACACGCACACACACACAGGCACACACACACACACACACACACACACACACACACACACACACGCACACACACACACAAACATACACACACACACACACACACACACATACACACGCACACATACACACGCACACACACACACACACAGGCACACACACACCACACACACACACGCACACACACACACAAACATACACACACACACACACACATACACGTTTTTGTTACCTGGTGGGTCCCTTTGACAGGGCCGTTCAGAATGGGACCCATAGACATAATCTTTTTTTACCAAGACTTTAAGTAATACAAAACAGTCAATAGAAACCAAACAACTATTTTAAAGGAATTTTATTTTAGATTTTGTTTTCGAATTGCAGTGATTCTATTTTTGACATAGAATTTAATGCCACTCCATGTCCGATGTCTAAGGTCATCTGGTGAGGCATTAATGCAGGCCAGGCAGTGAGACTTCCCAGGGACCTTTCCAGTCTGTATGAAAGGTGTCATGGTCTTCTCCACAGCCTTCACCTCAGATGCAGACCATGGCTTTCTTACACGTTCTAGGGAGAGAAATAAAAATATATTAGCAATATACACTCCCAGGGTGAGGACCAAGCAGCCTGGCTGTAATCCCCCACCTGGTACACTTACCAGAAGGGGCACTGCCACTACCATGGGGTGCATCTGGATGAATGGTTGAAGGTTCTCCGCTTGAAGTTTCTTTTAGCCCGTCCGTTTGTGAGAGGATCTCTACTGCTCTCCCTGTCGCACAGAAAATAAAAATACAAGTGGCCTTTAGGGGAAAAAAATCATACATATTTTAATAATATCAAGAATTACCTTCAGGCTCAATTTGTATCTGGTCGAGGCTCTTTCCTTCGAATTCCGTCACTCTTCCCTGCTCCATGGCCATCAACACTTTGCTGATTTTGGCCAGCTCCAGTGTCCCCTCTGGTAGTCTGTAATATTGCCTGTGGATGCGAATGTCATGGCCGAGGAAGTTGGCAAGTATGTCCATCTCATTCTCTTTCATATTGAGAACTGTAGACATAGTAGCTATGTGCTTTCTAAGTTTGGTTGAGGATAGCATCTCTGGATGCACCGCACCACATTCTTTGGCTACCTGGCGTAGGGAGTCTGATCCCCTGATGTGGGTGTCTGCGCCCGGGCGGGAAAAAGAAGTATGGGTTATGGTCAGAGATGGAACAGGCCCTTCTGTTCTCCACCAGCACCTCCATCGAAGCAATCATTTCAGGAGTCAAAAGAACCGGCACTTTCCGACTTCTTTTCCCTTTAATTTCAATGCGTTGAAAATGCTGACACAGCTTTTTCTCAAGTTGGGACAGTCCCAGAGCAATGTCAGAATGGATCCCAGTCTTACTTCTTAAGGTAAAGGCTGTCAGTGGCATCTTTGAAACCTCACCTTCCCTTCTTCGATTGAAAATGATGACCTCACAAAGAGTCAAAACTGCCAGTTTAGACCAATGCTTAGACGTTGGCTCACTTATTAGGGTTTGCACATATTCAGGTCGACATACCTCAATATGTGCATGCATGGCTCTAACGTCCTCAGTCAGAGGGAGCAGGTCCGGAGTGTTCCACTTGGCTTGCCGGAGGGTCTGTAGGGCAGCAGAAGAAACACAGACGTCCCACCTCTTCTCAAAAAGCAGCCGGCTTCGTTGGAGGTTTTTAATAAATAGTTCATCAACACAATGCTCCATTTTTGAGTCACATTCAAGAATATCTGCTAGCTTTCTGAGGCTATGGCCGAGTTTGAGGGCCAAGGATGGAGTCTTGTATTGATTTGTTTCCTCATCATATCCAGCCACAGACCTGACTGCATCAATCACATGGTTAAAGTTGGAAGGAATAAAGAAATCCTTAATTGTTTTCAGTTTCCCTGCGGTTTTTGCTTCGTTAATTAACCTACCGACTTCTCTCATTTTCTGCCTAATGTAATCATGCTTTGTCTTATCATGCCCGTGTTTTAAGTACAGGTGCTCTCCGAGTCTCAGAATCCCCTTTTCTGCTTTGACAACACCCGTGACCTCATCCTGATGCATTGCCGAAATTAAAGACCACAGCTTTTTGCTGATGCCCTCCGGTACAGGCTGGGCTAGGGAGCAGAGGGACTGGACCCTACTTCTACCTGGTTTAGCCTGGGCATCTTTCTGTGAAAGCCGGCACCTGGCCACATGCCTCCACAGCGACTTTCGCTTAAGCAATGCCCCACAGTCTATACAGTGCAAAAACTCACTGGATTTAACTGGGCAATTTGGCTGTTTAGCTGGGACTAAAGTTCCAATGCCGGCCTTTAAAACCTCAAAATTGTGCTCACGGTTTCCACTATTCCTGATCAAATCAAACTGAAGTTTACGTGCTTTAGATTTCACAGGTAGAGCCAATGCTCTGGCTACGTCACTTTCATTTCCATGTTTTCTAGTCAAATGACGGGACATTTTGTGGCAGGACATTGAACAGTAGAGGCAGAAGTGTCTCTTGCTGTATACTCGCCCCCCATTTTTCTTCTTTTGCAGCTGCATGATAACAATCTTATTTGCCTTTGGTTCGTCACTTTCCGAGTCTTGAAGAAAAGTGTTTTTGATTTTTCTTTTTCCATACTTTTTTACAGGTTTCTTCTTGACAGTTAAATCGTCAGAATCTGAGTCGACTTCATCAATTAGGGACTCTTGACTAAGCTGCACAAACAACAAATAATTTGTAATCATTCTATATAACAATTTGAAGTCATGACTTGTAGTCAGCACTTACCAGTGGTTTGTAAGCGTGCGCTTCAGTGTGCTCCTCCATGATTTCTTGCAGCCTAATGAACCACACACTTGCACCTTTTTCTAGCCTGACACCTGATTTCCTCTGTTGTGCTGCTCCATGATTGGCTCCAGCCTGCTGGACTGAAATTGCCCCAGTGTGCCCCTCCTTGATATCCCGCAACCCACCACCAGGGTTCCGACACATAACACACTTTTTTCAGGAAAGTAAACCTCCAGGGGTCCTTTCCATATTTTTACAGAGACTGCATAAGGACCGTTAGAAAAGCATTACCCATTGATTATTAAGCTTGGACCAGTGGGGTCCGGTGTTCGGGCCCCACCACGTAAAACCAGTCCCCATGACGTGAGTGGAATCTCAGGTTATGGAACCCACCAGGAGTTGAAAACAAGTGCACACATATTCTCAAAGAATAAGGGTGGGCGCATTTCTCCCCGGGAGAGAGCGCATGAAATTTGTCTTGAAAAAGAGCAATGACAGGTCCCAGAACCAAGGGGAGTCCCTGGAGGTTTTAACCCCGAAAAAAGCCCTTAAATCCGGCTTAAAATAGGGCCATGCGGGTCCCAGAACCGAGGGGATTCTGTGGAGGTTCTATCCCCGAAAAAAGCTTAGAAATCCGGACAGAAATCCGGACATAAATGCAGCACTGGAAAGCCTGAGACCCAGGGGGGTCCTCGAGGTTTTAACCCCGAAAAAAGCCCTTAAATCCGGCTTAAAATAGGGCCATGCGGGTCCCAGAACCGAGGGGATTCTGTGGAGGTTCTATCCCCGAAAAAAGCTTAGAAATCCGGACATAAATGCAGCACTGGAAAGCCTGAGACCCAGGGGGGGTCCTCGGAGGTTTTAACCCCGAAAAAAGCCCTTAAATCCGGCTTAAAATAGGGCCATGCGGGTCCCAGAACCGAGGGGATTCTGTGGAGGGTTCTTCCCCGAAAAAAGCTTAGAAATCCATGTGGGGGTTGGGGGGGTTGTGGGTGGGGTGGGTTGTGGTGGGGGTGGTGGTGGTGGTGTGGGGGTGGGGGGTTTGGGGTGTGTGTGGTTGGTTTTGGGTGTGGGGTGGGGGTGTGGGTGGTTTGTGTTTGGGGTGGGGGGGGGGGGTTGGTTGGTTGTTGGGGTGGTTTTGGGGGTTGGGTGGTGTTTGGGTTTTTGGTGTGGTGTTGTTTGGGGGGGGTGGGGGGTGGGGGGTTGTTGGGTGGGGTGGTTTTTTGGGTGTTGGGTGGTTGTGTGGTGTTGTGGGTGGGGTGGGGGTGGGGGGGGGGGGGTGGGGTGGTGGTGGGGTGTGGGTGGGGGGGTGGGGTGGGGGGGGGGGGGGGGGGTGGGGGGTGGGGGGGGGTGGGGGGGTGGTTGGGGGGGGGTGTGTTTTGGGTTGGTTGTTGGGGTGTATTGAATGTTGGATTGGGTTGGGGGGGTTGGGGGGTTGGGGGGTGGGGGTGGGTGGGGGTGTTGGGGGGGTGGGTGTTGGGGGGTTTTTGTGGGGGGGTGTGGGTGGGGGGGGTTGGGGGTGGGGGTGGGGGTTGTTGTGGTTTGGGGTGGGGGGGGGGGGGTTGGGGGGTGGGGGGGGGGTTTGGTGGGGGGGTGGTTGGGTGTTGGTGGGGGGGGGGGGGGGTGGTGTGTGGGTGTTGGGGTTTTTTTTTAGGGTGGGTGTGTTGGTGGGGTTTGGGGTTGTGTTGTTTGGGTTTGGGTGTGGTGGGGGTTGGTGTGGTGTGGGGGGGTGGGTGGGGGTGGGGTTGGGTTTGGGTGGGGTGGGGTGGGTTGGGGGGGGGGGGGGTGGTGGTTGGTGTTGGTGGTTGTGGGGGGGGTGTTTAATGGGGGGTGGTGGGGGTTGGTGGGGGGGGGGGTTGGTGGGTGGGTGTGGTTGTTGGTTGGGGTTGGGGGGTTGGTTTGGGTGTGGGGGTTTGGGGTGGTTTTTGTTTGTGGGGGGGTGGGTGGTGTGGGGTGTGTTGTGGTGTGGTTGTGTGGTTGTGTTGGGGGGGGGGGGTTTGTGGGGGGGTGGGGTGGGTGTTGTTGGGTGGGGGTGGTGGGTGTGGTTTGGGGGGGGTGTGGGGGGTGGGGGGGTGTGTGTGTGGAGTGGGGGGTGGGGGGGGGGTGGGGGGGGGGTTGGTGGGGGGTGGTGTGGGTGTGGGTTTGGGGGGGGGGGGGTGGTGGTTTGGGGTGGGTGGGTTTTTTTTTGTTGGGTGGTGGTGTGGTGGGGGGTGGGGGGGTGGGTGGTTGGTTGGGGTGTGTGGGGGTGTGGGGGTGGTGGGTGGGGGGGTTGTAGGGGTGTGTGTGGTGGTGTGTTGGGGTTTTGGGGGGGGGGGGTGGGGTGGGGTTGGGGGTGGGGGTTGGGGGGTGGGGGGGGGGGGTTTGTTGGTTGTTGGGTGTGTTGGGTGGGGGGGTGTGGTGGGTGTTTGGGTTGTTGGGGTTTTTGGTGGGTGGGGGGGGGTGTGGTTTTGTGTTTTTGGGTGTGGTTTTTTGTTGTGTGGGGTGGGTGTGGGTGGTTGGGGTGGTGTGGTGGTTGTGTGGTGTGTGTTGGGGGGGGGGGGGGGGGTTTGTGGGGGGGGTGGGGTGGGTTTGTTGGGGTGGGGGGGGTGGTGTGGGGTGGTTGGGGGGGGGTGGGGGGTGGGGGGGGTTGGGGTTTGGGGGGGTGTGTTGTGGTGGGTGTGTGTTTTGGGGGTTGGGTGGTGGGTGTGTGTTGGGGGTGGGTTTGGTGTGTGGGTGGGTGGGGGGGGTGGTGGGGGGGTGTGTGGGTGGTGGGGGGGTGGGGTGGTGGGGGGGTGTGGGGTGGTGTGTGTTTGTGGGGGTTGGTGGGGGTGTGTGGGGGGGGGTTGGTGGGGGGGGGGGGGTGTTTTTGTGGGGTGGGGGGGGGGGGGGGGGGGGGGGGGGTTGGTGGGGGTGGTTGTGGGTGTGGGGTTTTTGGGGGGGGGGTGGGTTGGGGGGGGGGGGTGGGTGGGGGGGGGGTTGGGGGGTGGGGGTGGTTGGGGTGGGGTTGGTGTGGGTGGGGTGGGGGGGGGTGGGTGGGAGTGGTGTGGTGTGTGGGTGGTTGATTATTTTTTTGGTGGGGGGTGGTTTTTGGGTGTGGGGGGGTGGGGGTGGGGGGGTGTGGGGTTTGTGTTGGGGGGGGGGTGTGGTGATGTGTGGTTTGGTGGTGGGGGGGGTTGGTGGGGGGGGGGGGGGGGGGGTGGGGGGGGTGGGGGTGTTTGGGGTGTGGGTGGGTGTGGGGGGGGGGTGGGGGGGGGGTGGGTGGTGTGTGTGTGGTTAGGGTGGTTTGTGGGGTTGGGGGGGGGTGGGGTGGGTTGTTGTGTTGTTGGGGGGGGGGGAGGGGGGGGGGGGGGGGGGGTTGGGTGTGGGTGGGGGGGGGGGTGGTGTGTGGTGTGTTTGGTTTTGTTGGGGTGTGTAGTGGGGTTGGGGTTGGGTTGGAGGTGGGGTTGGGGGTTTGGGTTGTTTGTGTGGTTGGGGGGGGTGTTGTGTTGGTGTTTTTGTGTGTTGTGGGGGGGGTTTTTGTGGGGTTGTTTGGTTGGTGGTGTGGATTGGGGTGTGTTGGGTGTGGTTGGGGGTGTGGGTTGGGGTTTGGTGGGGGTTGGTGGGGGTGGGGTGGGGGGGGTGGGTGGGGTTTTGTGGTTGTTTTTTTTTTGGGGGGTGTGGGTGGTTGTGTTTTGGTGGGGTGGGTTTTTTTTGTGGGGGGTGGTGGGGGGGGGGGGGTTGAGGGTGGGGGGGGGGGGGGGGGGGGGTGGGGTGTGGGGTGGTGGGTGGGGTTGGGGTGGGGGGGGGTGGTGGGAGGTGGGGGGGGTGGGGGGGGGGGGGGTGGGTGTTGGTGGGGGGGGGGGTGGGTGGGTGTGGTGGGGGGGGGGTGGTGGGGGGGGTGGGGGGTGTTGTGGTTGGTGGTGGTGTGTGGTTTTGTTGTTGGTGGTGTTGTTGGTGGTTGGTTGTGGTTGGGTGTTGTTGTTGTTGGGGTGGTGTTGTGGTTTGGTGTGGTGTTGTTGTGTTTTTTTGTGGTTGGAGTGGTGATGTTGGGGGTGTGTTGTGGATGGTTGTTTTTTGTGGTTGTGGTGTTGTTGTTGGTTTGGGGTTTTTTGTTGTTGTGTGGTGTTTGTTGTTGGTGTTGTGGTTGGTTGGTGTTGTGGTTGGTGTTTATGTTGTTATGGGGTTTTTTGTGGTTGTTGTAGGAGTGGTTGGGGGGTTTGTTGTGGTTGGGGAGTTTTTGTGGTAGGGGGGTTTTTTTTTGTTGGGTGTTGTTGTGGTGGGGGGTTTGTTTTGGGTTGGGGGGGGGGGGTGGATAGGGGGTGGGGGGGTGTGTGTGGGGGTTTTTTGTTGGGGGGGTTGGGGGTGTGGTGTGGGGGGGGTGGGTTGGGTGGTGGGGGGTTGGGGTGTGGGGGTTTGGTGGTGTGGTTGTGTGTTTGGTTGTGTGGTGGTGTGTTGTTGGTTTGTGGTGTTGGTGGGTGTGGTGTGGTGGTGGTTGTGTGGGTGGGTGGTGTGGGTTGGTGGGGGGGGTTGGGGGGGGTTGGGTGGGGTGTGTGTTGGGGTGTGTGTGGTGTGTGTTGGTGTGTGTGTGGTGGTGTTGGTGTTGTGGTTTGTGTTGAGTGTGTGGTTTGTGTGTGGTGGTGTGTGGGGTGTGTGTGTGTGTGTGTTGGTTGTGTTGTGTGTGTGGGGTGGGGTGTGGTGTGTGTGTGTGTGTGGTGTGGTGTGTGTGTGTGTTGGTGTTTTGTGTGTGTGGTGTGGTGTGGTGTTGTGTGTGTGTTGGTTTTGGTGTTGTGTTGTGGTTTGTGTGTGGTTGTGTGTGTGTGTGTGGTTTGTGGTGTGTGTGGGTGTGTGGTGGTGTGTGGTGGTGAGTTGTGGGGTGTGTTTGGTGTTGTGTGTGTGTTGTGTGTGTGGTGTGTGTGGTGTGTGTGGTGTGTGTGGTTTTGTGGTGATGGGTGTGTGTGGGGTGGGGGGGGGGTGGGGGGGTTGTGGGGGGGGTTTGGGTGGGGGGTTGGGATTGGGGTTTTGGGTTGTGGTTGGGTGGTGGGGTGTGGGGGGGGGGTGTGGGTGGGTGGGTGGTGGTTGGGGGTGGGTGGGGGTGGGTGGGGGGTTGGGGTGTTGGTGGGTGGTTGGGGGGGGGGGGGGGGTGGTGGTGGGGGGTGGGTGGGTTGGGTGGGGGGTTGGTGGTGGGTGGGGGGTTGTGGGGGGTTGTTGGGTGGGGGGGGTGTGGGGGGGGGTTGGGGGGGGAGGGTTTGTGGGGGGGGGTTGTGGGGGGGGGTGTGTGGGTTGGGGGGGGGGGGTGTGGTTGTGTGTGTGTGGTGTGTGTGGTGTGTGTGTTTGTTGTGTGTGTTGTTGTTTGTGTGTGTGTGTGTTGGTGTGTGTGGTGTGTTTTGGTGTGGGGGGGGTTGGGTTTGGGGTGTTGGTGGGGTTGGTGGGTGGGGGTGGGGGGGGGTGGTGGTGGGGGGGGTGGGGTGGTGGGTGTTGGTGTGTGGGGGGGGGTGTGGGGGGGGGGGGGGGGTGTGGGTGGGGTGGGGGGGGGGGGGGGTGGTGGGGGGGGTTAGGTGTTGGGTTTGGTTGGGGTGTGGGTGGGGGGTGTGTTGGTTGTTGTTTGTTGTTGGGTTGGTTTGTTTGGTTGGTGGGGGGTGGGGTTTGGTGTTTGTGTTTGGTGTTGTTGTGGTTGTTGTGGGTGTGGGTGGGTGTTGGGGGTTGGGGGGGGGGTGTTGGGGGTGTGTTTGGGGGTGGTTTGTGGGGGTTTTTGTTGGGGTGTGGGTTGGGTGTGTTGTGTAGGGGTGGTGGGGGTGGGGGGGTGTTTGGGGGGTGGGGTTGTGTTTGGGGGGGTGTGGTTGTTGTTTGGTTGTTGGGGGGGTGTGGGTTGGGGGGGGGGGGTGGTTGGGGGTGGGGGGGGTGTGGGGGTTGGTGTGTTTGGGGGGTGTGTGTGGTTGGGTGGGTTGTGGGTGGGTTTGTGTTGGTTGTGGTGTGGTGGGGGGGTAGAGTATTGGTTATAGTGGGGTGGATGGGTGTGGGATGGTGATGGGTGGTTGTTGGGGGTAGGTGGGAATTGTAGATAGTGGTGTGGGGGTGTTGGGTGGGGTGGGGGTGGGTGTGGGGGGGGGGGGGGTAGGTGTGGGGTTGTTTTTTGTGGGTGGGTGGTTGTGGTGAGTGGGGGGGGTTTTGGGGGTGGTTTTTGGGGGGTGTGGTGGGGGGGTGGTTGGGTTTTTTTGGTGGGTGTTGTTTATTAGTTTGTTTTGTGTGTTGGTGTGTGTTGGGTTTTTATTGGTTTGTGGTGGGGGTTTGGGGGGGTGGGGGGTGGGGGTGTGTGTGTGGGGTTGTGGGGTGGATTGGGTTGGGGGGGTGGGGGGTTTGGTGGTTGGAGGGGGGGGTGGGTTGTTGTGGGGGGTTGTGTGGTTTGTGGTTGGGGTGTTTTGGGGGGGTTTGTGAGGGGTGTGGTGTTGGGTGTGGTGGGGTGGGGTGTGTGGGGGGGGTGTGGTGGTGGGTGTGGGTTGTGGGGGGTGGGGTTGTGTGTGTAGTTGTGGTGTGGTGGGTTGGGGGGGGGGGTTTGGGGGGGTGGTTGGTTGTTGTGGGGGGGTGTTTTGTTTGTTGTGGAGTTGGGGTTTTTTGTGGGGGGGGGGGTGGGTGGTGTTTGGTGTTGGGGGGGGTGTGGGTGGGGTTGGTGTGGTGGGTGGGGTTGGGGGGGGGTTTGGGGTGGGGGGGGGTGTGGTGGGGTTGTTTGGTTGGTGGTGGTGGGTGTGGGGGGTGTGTGTTGGTGGTGGTGGTGGGGGGGGGGGGGGGTTGGGGGGGGTTGTGGTGGGGGTGGGGTGGGGGGGTGTGTGTGTGGTGGGTGTTGGTTGGTTATTGGTTTTTTGGTTGTTGTGTTGTGGGTGGTGGGGAGTGTGTGTTGGGGGGGGGTGGGGGGGGGGTGGTGTTGTGGTTTGGTGGGGGGGGGGGGGTGTGGGGGGTGGTTGTTTGGTGTTTGTTTTGGTTGGGTGTGTGTTGTTGAGAAAGAGGGTAGGGTGGGAAGGGGTGGTGGAATGATGGTATGTGGTGTGGAGGGTAGTTGTGGGGGATTTAAAGTTGTTTGTAATTAGAGTATTGTGAGTTTAGGATGGGGGGTAGAGGGGGGGGGTGATGGGGGGATTGAGGGGGGTTTTTGGGGGTGGGGATTTTGAATTGGGTATGTAGGGGAAGTTGGTTGTTTATGTGATGGAGTATGGGAGATATGGGGGGTTGGATATTAGGGTTTTATGGGGGGAGATGGGGTGTAATTTTGGGGGTGTGTTTGTTTGGGGTAGGGGGAGGGGTTGTTGGTGTGGGGGGTGTGGGAGGGGGGGGGGGGGTGGTGTTGTGTTGGGTATTGTGAGGTATATATTTAGGGTTTTTTTTGTGGTGGGGGATTTTTTTTGTTGTGTGTTTGTGGTGGGTGGTGTTTGGTTTGGGTTTGGGGTGGTAGTGGTATGGTGGGTTGTTTAATGGGTGGGTTGTTTGTGTGGTTTTGGGTTTTGGTGTTGGGGTTTGGTGTTTGTGTGTTTGAGTTTTTGGTTGGTTTTTTGTTTTTGGGGGTAGGTGGTTGGGTTTGTGATTGGGGGTGGTGGGGGGGTGTTTGGTTGGTGGGTGGGGTGTGGGTTGTGTTGTTGGTGGGTTGTTGGGGGGGTTGGTGGGGTGGGGTGTTGTGGTGTGGGGGGGGGGTATTTGTTTTATTGGGGGTGGGGGTGGGGGAGGAGGGGAGGGGTGGGTTGGTTGGTGATGTGTGTTGGAGGTGGGTGGGTGGGTGTGGTGTTGGTGGATGGTGTTTGGAGGATTGGTTTTTTAGGGGGGTGGTTTTGGGTGGGGGGGTTTGGGGGGGGGTTGTTGTTGGGTTGGGTTTGGGGGGGGGGGGTGTGGGGGGGGGGGGGGTGTGTTTGTGGGTGGGGGGGTTGGGGGTTTGGTGTGGTGGTGGTTGGGGGTGGGTGTAGGTGTTGGTGTTGGATGGGGTTTGTGTTGTGTTGTTGTTGTGTTGTTTGTTGGGGGTTGTGTTGGGGTGGGGTGGTGTGGGTGGGTGGTGGGGTGGGTGTGGTGTTTTTGTGGGTGGGGTGGTGTGGTTGGAGGGGGGGGGGTTTGGGGGGGGGGGGGGGGGGGTGGGGGTGGGGGGGGTGTTGGTTTGGGGTTTGGTGGTGGGGGGGGGGTGGTGTTTGGGTGGGTTTTGGTGTGGTTTGTTTTTGGTTTGTGGGTTGGGGTGGGGGGGGGGGGGGTGGGGGGTGGTGGTGGGGTGGGGGGGTGTTGTGGTTGGTTGGGGGTGGTTGGGTGGGTTGTGTTTGTGGTTGGTGTTGGGGGGGTGGGTGGGGTGGGGTTTTGTTGGTTGGGGGGGTTGGGGGGGGTTGGTGTTGGTTGTGTGGGGTGTGGGGGGGGGTGGTGTTGGTTGTTTGTGTGTGTTGGGTTTGTGTGTTTGGGGTGGGGGGGTGGGGTTGTGGGGGGGTGGGTTTGGGTGGTTTTTTTGGGGTTGGTTTTTGGTTTGGGGTTGTGGTGGGGGTGTGGGGTGGGTGTGTGTGTGTGTTGGTTGTTGTTGGGGGGTATGGAGGTTTTTTTGGTGGGGGGGGGTGTGTTGGGTGGTGGGTGTGTGGGTGGTGGTGGGGGTGGGGGGGGGGGGTTGTTATTGGGGTTTGGGGTTGTTGGTTTTTGGTTGTTGGGGTGGGTGTGAGGGGTGGGGGGGTGGGGGGGGTGTTGGTGTTGGGGGTTTGGGGGTGGGGGTTTGGGGGGTTTGGTGGTTGGGGGGTAGTGTGTTGGGGTGGTTGGGGGTTGGGGGTTTGGGGTGGGGTTGGGGTGTGGGTTGGGGGGTTTGGGGGGTTGGGGGTTGGGGGGTAGGGGGGGTTGGGGGTTGGGGGTTTGGTGGGTTTGGGGTTGGGGTTGGGGGGGGTTGGGGGGGGGTTGGGGGGGTTGGGGGGTGGGGGTTGGGTGGTGGGGGGTGGGGGTTTTTTGTGTTGTGGGTTTTGGGTTTGTTGTGGGGGGGTGTTGTGGGGGTTGTGTGGGTTGGGGGGTTGGGGGTTGGGGGGTTGGGGGTGTGTGTGGGTGTGTTTGTGGGTTGGGTTGTGTTGGTGTTTGGTTGTGTTGGTTGTGTTTTGTTGTGTGTGTGGGGTTGGGTGTGTGTGGTGGGGTTGTTGGGGTTTGTGGGGTGGGGTGTTGTTGGGGTTTGGGTTGTGGGTGTGGGTGTGGGTTTGGGTGGGGGGGGGGGGTTGTGGGGTGGGTGTGGTGTGGGGGTGGGTTGGGGGGGGGTGTGGTGGGGGGTTGGTTGGTGTGGGGTGGGTGGTGGGTGTGTGGGTTGGTGGTTGTGTGTGTGTTTGGTGTGGGGTTTGGTGGTGGGGTTTGGTGTGGTGTGGTGGTGGGGTTGTGGTGGGTTTGGTGGTGGGTTGGTTGGGGTTGGGGTTTGGTGGTGGGGGGTTAGTGGTGTGGGGTTGGTGTGGTTTGTGGGGGTTTGGTGTTGGTTTGTTGGGGGGTGGGGGTTTGTTGTGGGTGGGGTTGGTGGTGGGGTTTGTGGGTGGTGTTTGGTGTGGTTTGGTGGTGGGTTTGGTGGTGGGGTTTGGTGGGTGGGGGGTTGGTGGTTTGTTGGGTGGGGTTTGGTGGTGGGGGGGGTGGGGGTGGGGGGGGGGGGGGTGGTGGGGGTGGGTTGGGTGGGGTGGGGGGGTGGGGGTGTTTTGTGTGTTGGGGGTGGGTGTGGGGGGGGTGGTGGGGGGTTGTGGGGTGGGTGGTGTGTGTTGGGGTGGTGGGTGTGGTGGGGGGGGTTGGGGGGGGGGTTGGGTTGTTGGGGGTTGTTTGGAGGTGTGGGGGTTGTATTTTGGGGGGTTTGTTGGGGGGTTTTGTGGTTGGGTTGGGTGGTTGAGTGGGTTGGTGGGGGGTGGGGGATTGGGTGTTGGGGTTGTGGGGGGGGGGTTTGTGTGGGTGTTTGGTGGTGGGGGGTTGGGTGGGGGTGGTGTGTGGGGGGGGGGGGGTGTGTGGGTGGTGTGGTGGGGGGTGTGGGGGGGTGGGGGTTGATGATTGGGGGGGTTTTGGGGTGGGGGGGGGTTTGGGGGGGTTGGGGTGTTGTGGTTGTGGGGGTGGTGTTGGGGGTGGTGGGGGGGGTGGGGGGGGTGTTTGGGGGGGGGGGGGGTTGGTGGTGGTGGGGTTGGGGGGGTTGGGGTGGGGGGGGGGGGGTGGGGTGGTGGGGGGGGTGGGGGGTTGGGGGGGGGTTGTGGGTGGGGTGTGTGGGTGGGGGGTGGTGTGGTGGGTGTGGGGGGTGGGGGTGTTGGGTGTGGTGGGGTTGGTTTTGGGGGTGTGTGTGGGTGTGGGTGTTTGTGTTTGGGGTGGGGGGGGGGGGGGGGTTGGTGGTGGTTGGGTGGGTTTGGGGGTTGGGTGTGTGGTTGGTGTGTTTGGGTTTGGTGTTGTTTGGGGGGTGGGGTGGGGGGGGTGGGTTGTGGGGGGGGTTTTTTGGGGTTGGGTTTGTGGGGTGTGTGGTGGGGGGGGGGGGGGGGGGGGGGGGGGGTGGGGTGGTGGTGGGTGTGGTGGGGGGGGGGGGGGGGGGGGGGTGGGGGGGTGGGGGGGGGTGGGGGTTGGGGGGTTTTTGGGGAGGGTGGGTTGGGTGTGGTTGGGGGTGGGGTGGGGGGTTGGGGGGGTTGGGGGTGGGGGGGGGGGGTGTGTTGGGGGTGGTGTTGGGGGTGTTTTGGGGGGGTTGTGGGTGGGGGGTGTGGGGGTTGGGTGGGGGTTTTGGGGTTGGGTGGGGGGGGGGGGTTGGGGGGGTGGGGGGGGTTGTTTGGGGGGGTTGTGGGTGTGTGGTGGGGGGGGGGGGGGGTGGTTTTTGGGGTGTTGGTTTTGTTGTTGGTGGTGGTGTGGGTGGGGTGTGGGTGGGGGTTTGGGTTTGGGTGTGGTGGGGGTTGTGGTGGTGTGGGGGGGGGGGGGGTGGGGGGTGGGGTGGGGGTTTTGGGTGGGTGGGGTGGGGTTTGGGGGGGGGGGGGGGGGTGTGGTTGGTGTGGTGGTTGTGGGGTGTTTGGTGGGTGGGTGGGGGTTGGTGGGGGGGGGTGGTGGGGGGGGTGGTGGTTGTTGGTTGGGGGTTGGGGGTGGTTGTGTGGGGGGGTTGGGGTTGGTGTGTTTGTTTGTGGGGGTTGGGTGGTTGGGGTGTTGTGTTGGTGTGGGTGGTGTTTGGGGGGGGGGGGGGTTTGTGGGGGGTGGGTGGGTTTGGTTGGTGGGGGTGTGTGGGTGTTGGGGGGTGGGGGGTGGGGGGGGGGTGTGTGTGGTGGTGGTGGTTGGGGGGGGGGGGGGGTGGGGGGGGTTTGTGGGGGGGGTGGTGTGGGGTTTGTTGTGGGGGGGGGGGGGGGGGGTGGTTGTGTGGGGTGGTTGGGTTTTGTTTGTTTGGGGTGGGTGGTGTGTGGGGGGGTGGGGTGGGGTGTTTGGTTGGGTGTGTGGGGTGTGGGGTGGTGTGGGGGTGGTTGGGTTGTGGGTGGTTGTGTGTGGGTGTTGGGGGGTGGGGGGGTGGGTGTGGGGGGTTGGGGGGGTGGGGGGGGGTTGTGTTGTTGGGGGTGTGTTGGTGGGGGGGTGTGGGTGGGGGGTTGGGGGTGGGTGGGGGTTGTTGGTGGGTGGGGGGGTGGGTGGTGTGTGTGGTGTTGGGTGTGTTGGTTTTTTGTGTGGGGGGGTGTGGTTGGTGGGGGGGGGTGGTTGTGTGTGGTTGGGGTGGTGTGTTGGGGGGGGGGGGTTTGTGGGGGGTGGGTGGTGTTGGTTGGTGGGGGGGGGTGTGTGTGTTGGGGGGGGGGTGGGGGGTGGGGGGGGGGTTGGGGTTTGGGGGTGGTGTTGTGTGGTTGTTGTTGGGGGTTGGGGGTGGGTGTGGGTTTTTGGGTGGGTTTTGGGTGGGTGGGGTGGTGGGGGTGGTGGGGTGTGGTGGGTGGGGGGTGGGGTGGTGGGGGGTGGTGGGGGTGGTGGGGGTTGTGTGGGTGGTGGTGGGGGGGTTTGGGGGGTTGGTGGGGGTGTTTTTGTGGTGGGGGGGGGGGGGGGGGGGGGGGGGGGGGTTGGTGGGGGGTGGGTTGGTGGTGTGGGGTTTTGTGGGGGGGGGGTTGGGGTGTGGTGGGGGGGGGGGGGGGGGGTGGGGGGGGGTTGGGGGTGGGGGTGTTGGGGTGGGTTGGTGGTGGGTGGGGGGGGGGGGGTGGTTGGGTGGTGTGTGGTTGTTGTTTTTTGTTTGGGGGGGGGGGGGGGGGGGGGGGGGGGGGGGGGGGGTGTGGTGTTGGGGGGGTTGTGTGTGTGTGGTGGGGTGTGTGGGGGGTTTGTGGGTGGGGTGGGGGGGGGGGGGGGGGGGGTGGGGTTGTTGGGGTGGTGGGTGGGTTGGGGGGGGGGGGTGGGGGGGGGGTGGGGTTGTGTGTGGGGTGGGGGGTTGTGGGGGTGGGGGTGGGGGTGGTGTTTTGGGTGGGGGGGGGGGGTGGGGGGGGGGGGGGGTTGGTTGTGTGTGGGTGGGGGGGTGTGTGTTTGGTGTTTTGGTGGGTGGGTTGGGGGGGTGGGGGGTGTGGTTGGGGGGTTTGGTTTGTTTGTGGGGGGGGGGGGGGGGGGTTGGTGGTGGTGTGTTTTGTTTGGGTGGGGGGTGGTGTTGGGGTTGTTTGTGGGGGGGTGGTTTGTGTTGTTGGTGTGGTTGGGGGTGTGTTGGGGGTGTGGGGGTTGGTGGGGGTGGGTGGGGGGGGTGGTGGGGGTGGTGGTGTTTGTTTTTTGTGTTGGGTGTGGGTGTTGTGTTTTGGTGGGGTGGTTTGTTTTTTGGGGGGTGGTGGGGGGGGGTGGTGGGGTGGGGGTGGGTGGGGGGTGGGTGGGGGGGGGGTGGGGGTTGGGTGGGGGGGTGGTGGGTGGTGGGGGGGGGTGGGGGGGGGTGGGTGGTGGGGGGGGGGGGGGGGGGGGGGGGTGGGGTGGTGGGGGGGGGGGGGTGGGGGGTGGGGGGGGGTTGGTTGTGGTTGGTGGTGGTGTGGTGGTGTGGTTGGGTGTGGTTGGTTTGGTGGTGTGTGGTTGGTGGTGTTTTTGGTTTGTGGTTTTGTGGTTGGGGGGTGTGGTGTGGGTTGGTGTGTTTTGGTTTGGGGGTGGTGGTGTGGTGGTGGTGGTGGTTTGTTGGTTGGTGTTGTGGTTGTGGTGTTTGTGGTTGGTGGTTTTTGGTGGTTGGTGTTGTGGTTGGGTGTTTTTGGTTGGTGTTTTTGTTGTGGTGTTGTTTGTGTTGGGGGTGTTTTTGTGGTGTGTTTGTGGTTGTGTGGTGGTTGTGTTGGGTTGGTTTGTGGTTGGTTTGTTGTGGTTGGGGGTGGTGTTTGGTGTGGGGTTTGTGGGGTTGTGTTTGGGGGGGGGGGGGGGTGGGTTTTGGGGTGGGGGTGGTTGGTGGGGGGGTTGTGGTGGGGGGGGTGGGGAGGGTTGGGGGGGGAGTGGGGGGTTGGTGTGGTGGGGTGGGTGGGGTGTGGGGGTTTGGTGTGTGGGGGTTGGGTTTTTGGGTTTGTGTGGGGTTTTTTGTTGTTTGTGGGGGTTTTTTGTGGTTTTGTGTGGTGTGGTGTTTTGTGGGTTGGTGTTGGTGGGGTGGGGGGGGTTGGGGGGGGTTTGTGGTGTGTGTGTGGGTAGGTAGTGTGGGTGTGTGTTGTGTTGGGGGGGTGTGTGAGTAGGGGGTTTGAATGTGTGTGTGTGTGATGATATGGGATAGAGAGGGGGTGAGAGAGTGGAGTGTTGTAGGGGTGTGTGTGGTATGTGTGATGTGGGTTGTTGGAGTGTAGGGTGATGGGTGTTGAGGGTGTGTGTGTGGTGTGTGTGTTGGTGTTTATGGGTGTTGTTGGGGTTTGTGGTGTGGTTGTGTGTGTGGGTGTGTGTGGGTGTGTGTGGGGGTGGTGTGTGTGGGGTGTGTTGGGGTGTGTGTGTGTGTTGTGGTGTGTGTGGTGTGTGTGGGGGGTGTGTGTGGGGGTTGTAGGTGTTTGTGTGGTGAGTGTGGGTGAGTGAGATGGGTGTGTGTGGTAGTGATGTGTGGGTGTTGTGGTTGTGTGTGGTGTGTTGGGGTGTGTGTGGTGTGTGTGGTTGTGTGGTGTTTGTTTTGTGGTGGGGGTTGGGGGTTGGGGTGGTTGTTGTGGGGGGGTGATATTGGGTGGGGTGTGGGTGGTGTTGGGGTTTGGTTGTGGGATGGGGGTTGGGGTGGGGGTGTGGTGGGGGGGGGTGTGGGTGGGGGTGGGGGGGGTTTTGGGGGGGGGGGGGGTTTGGTGGGTGGGGGTTGGGTGTAGGGGGGGTAGTTGTTTGTGTTGTTGTTTGTTGGTTTTGTTGGAGTTGTGGGGTGGGGGATGGTGAGGGTTGGAGGGTGGGTGGGGGGGTTGTGTGGGGTTTGGGTAGATATGGGGGTTGTATGTGTTAGGGGGTTATGGGGGGTTAGATGGGGGTGATGGGGGTTTGTATGGATTAGGGTTGTTGTGGGGGGTTGGGGGGGTGTGTAGGGGTTTGGGGGGGGGGGGTGTGAGGGTTGTTTTGTTATATGTTATATATATAGATATTTTTATTTTTATTTTTTATGTGGATTTATAGTTATATTTGTTTTATTTGATATTGAGTTATAGGGGGGGGGGGGGTAAGGGGGGTAGGGGGGGGTATGGATGTGTGTGTTGGGGGGTTTGGGGTGGGGGGGGTTGGGTGTTGGGTGGGGGGTGTTGATGTGGGGTGTGTTTGGTTATGGGGGGGGGGGGTGGGGGTGGGGGGGGGGGGTGGTGTTGGGTGGGGGTGGGGTGGGGGTTTTGTATGGTTGGGTTGGTTGGGGGAGGAGGGGGGGGTTGGTTGATGGATTATGTTTGGGTTGGGGGGGTTTTGATGGGTTTGGTTGATTGTTGGAATGGTGGGTGGGGTGTTTGGTGGGTGTGTTGTTATGGTGTTGTTGGGTTTTTTGGTGGGTTGTTGGTTGTTAGTGGGGTGTGGTGTTTTTGTGTGGGTTTTGTTTTAGTATTGGGTGTATTTTTTTGGGGAGGGGGTTTATTGTTGGGGTTTGTGTATTGGGTTTGTTTTGGGTTGGGGTTGTGGGGGGGGGGGGTTTGTTTGGTGGGGGTGGGGGGATTGTATGGGGGGGGGTTGTGTGTTTGTGGTTTGGTGTGTTTGGTGGTTTGGTTTGGGTTGGGGGGGTTGGGTGGGTTGGGGGTGGGTTGTGGTGGGTGTTGGTGTGTTGGGGGGGTGGTGGTGTGGGTTGGGGTGGTTGTGGTGGTTTTTTGGTTGTGGTGTGGTGGGGGGGGTTGTGTTGGGTTTTTTGGGGTGGGGGGGGGTTGGGGTGGGGGTGGTTGGGGGTGGGGGGTTGGTTGGGTGTGGGTGGGGGGGTGGGGTGGGGGGTGGGGTGTGGGGGGGGGGTGTGTGGGGTGTATGGTTTTGGTGGGGGGGGTAGGTTGTGGGGTGGGTTTTGGGGTGTTTTTGGGGGGGGGGTGGGTGTGTGTTTTGGTGGGGTGTGTTTAGTGTGTTGGTTGTGGTTGGTGGGGTGGGTGTGGGGGGTTTGTGGTTTGTGTGGTTTGGGTGGGGTGTGTGGGGGGGGTGTGTGGGGGTGTGGGGGGTGGTTTGTTGGGGTTGGGGGGTTTGGGTGGGTGGTGGGGGGGGGTGGTTGGTGTGGTGGTTGTGTAGGTTTTGAGGTGGGGGGGTTGGTTGTGGTGGGGGTGTGGTGGGTTGGGGGGGGTTGGTGGGTGGTGTGTGGGGGTGGGTGTTGGGGTGGTTGGGTGGTTGTGGGGGGTTGAGGTGTGTTTTTTGTGGTGGGTGTGTGGGGGGGTTTGGTGGTTGTGGGGTGTTTGGGTGGTGTTTTTTAGTGGTGTGGGGTGGTTTTTGTGGGGGGGGGGGGGGGTGGTGGGGTTTGGGTGTTGGGGGGGTGTTGTGGTGGTGTGGTTGGTGGTTGGGGGTTGGTGGGTGGGGGGGGGGGGGGGTTGTGGTTGTGGGTTTTTGTGGTTGGGTGGGGGGGGTGGTTTGGTGGGGGGTGTGTGTGTTGTGGTGGTGGGGTTGGGGGGTGTTGGGGGGGGTTGTGGTGGTGGGGGGTGGGTGTGGTGGGTGTGTTTTGTTGGGGGTATGTTGGTGTTTGGGATTGGGGTTGGGGGGAGGGGTTGGTGTGGGTTGGTGGGGGGGGGGGGTGGGGGGGGTGTTTGTTGGTGGTTTGGTGGGGGGGGTGTGTGGGGGTTGGGTGTGTTTTGTTGTTTTTAGGTTTGGGGTGTGTTTGTTGTTGTTGTGGTGGGTGGTGTTGGTGGTGTGTGGGGTGTATGTGGGTTGTTATGTTGTGGGGTGTTTTTGTTGTGTTGGGTGTTTTGGTGTGGGGGGGGGTTGTGGGGTGGTTGGGGGGGTGTTTGGGGGGGTGGGTGGGGGGGTTGTGGTTTTGTTGTTGGGTTGGGTTGGTTAGGGTTTGGGTGGTTGTGTGGGTTGGTTTGGTGGGGGGGGTGTTGTGGGGTGGTTTGGGGGGGGGGGGGTGGGGGGTTGGTGGGGGTGTTGGGGGGGGTGGGGGGTGGTGGGGTGGGTTGGTTGGTTGGTTTGGGTTTGGTTGTGGGGTTTGTTTTGGTGTTTGTGTGGGGGTGGTGTTTGTTTGGGTTGTGGGGGTGTGGTTGGGTGGGTTTGGTTTGGTGGTGGTTTGTTGGTGGGGGTGGTGGGTGTGTGGGTGGGGGGTTGGGTTTTGGTTGTGTTTATGGTGTTGTGTGTTTGTTTTTGTGGTTGTTGTTTTGGGGTTTGTTGTAGGGTGTGTTGGGGGGGGGTTTGGGTTTTTTTGTAGGTTGGATTTGGTGTTAAGTTTATTGTAGTGGGGGGGGAAGTTGTTGGAGGGTTGGTGGGTTTGGTGGGTGGGGGAAAAGTTTGAATAGGGGTGGGGGTGGGGAGGGGGAGGTATGGTTGGATGTGTGTGTAAGAGAATATTTATAGGAGTTTTGTTTAGGATTGAGGTGTTAAGGATAATGGATGAATTTGAAAAAATGTGGGGGATGGGGAAAAGGAGGGGTTGGGTAATGGGGGGGGTGGTAGAATGGAGAGGGGAAGTTAAAGGGGTGGGGTGTGGAGTTGTGTGGGGGTGGGAGAGATATTGGGTTGTTTGGAATGGAGATGAGGGGTTGTGGTTGATGTGATTAAGGGAATTGTAGTTGGGGGGTGTTGGGAAATGGGTTGGGAGATAGGGGGGGGTAGATGTTGAAGGGAAAGAAAGGGTAATGTTTGGGGAAGTATATGGTTAGGTTTGGTTATGTGATGTTTGGTGTTGAGTGTGGGTGTAGTGGGTGGGTTGTTGTGTTGGTGTGTGTGTTGGGTTGGGGTGGTGGGGGGGGGAGGGGGTGGGGGGGGGGGGGGGTGGTTGGGGGGGGTTTTGGTTGGGTGTTGGGTGTGGGTTGGGGTTTTGGGGTGTGTGTATGGGTTGGGGGGTTGTATGGGGTGTGTTGGTGGTTGGGGAGGGGGTGGGGGGGGGGGTGGGGGGTGGGGTGGTGGGGGGGTGGGGGGTGTAGTGTGGGTGGTGTGGGGGTTGTTGTGTGTGTTGTGTTTTTTGTTTGTTGTGTTGTGGGGGTGGTGGGTGGGTTTGTTGTTGTGGGGGGGTGTGGGGGGGGTTTTGGTGTTGGGTTAGTGTGGTGTGGGGGGGGGGGGTGTTTTGTTTGGGATTTTTGTTTTGGGTGTGTGTGATTTGGTTGGGGGGGGGTGTGTGGGTGGGGGGGATTGGGGGTGGTTGTGTGGTTGGGTTGTGTGTGGGTGTGTTGTGTTTGGGTGTGTTGTGGGATTGGTTGTTATGTTGGTGGGTGTTGGTGGTGGTGGGTGTGTTTGGGTGGTGGGGGGTTGGGGGGGGTGTTGTGTTTGGGGGGGTTGGGGTGTGTGGGGTTGGTTGGTTTGGGTGTGTTGGGGGGGGGTGGGGGGGGGGGGGTGGGTGTTGGGGGTTGGGGGTGGGGGTTGGTGGATGGGGGTTGGGGTTTTGGGGGTTGGGGGGTTGGGGGTTGGGGGTTGGGGGGTGGGGGTTGGGGGTTGGGGGGTTGGGGGTTAGGGGGGGGGGGTTGGGGGTTTGGGGGGGTTGGGGGTGGGGGGTTGGGGGGATGGTGGTGGGGTTGGGGGTTGGGGGGTTGGGGGGTTGGGGGGGGGTTGGTGGGTGGGGGGGTTGGGGGGTTGGGGGTTGGGGGGGTTGGGGGTTTGGGGGTTGGGGGGTTTGGGGGTGGGGGGTAGGGGGTTTGGGGGGTTTGGGGTTGGGGTGTTGGGGTTTTGTGGTTGGTGTGTGGGTTTGGGTTTGTGTTGTGGTTTTGGTTGTTGGTTGTTGTTTGTGTGTGTGGGTGGGTTGTGTGGTGGTGGGGTTGTTGTTGTGGGTGTGTTTTGGGTGTTGTGTGTTGGGTGTGGGTGTGGGTTTGTGGGGGGGGGGGTTGTGGGGGTGGGGTGTGGTTTGTGGGTGGGTGGGGGGGGGGGGTGTGTGGGGGGGTGGGTTGGTGTGGGTGTGGGGGGTGGGTGTGTGGGTTGGTTTGTTTTGTGGTGGGGTTTGGTGTGGGGTTTGGTGGTGGGGTTTGGTGGTGGGGTTGGGGTGGTGGGGTTGGTGGTGGGTTTGGTGGTGGGGTTTGGTGGTGGGTTTGGTTGGGTGTTGGTGTGGGGTTTGGTGTGGTTTGGTGGTGGGTGGTGGTGGGTTTGGTGTGGGGGTTTTGGTGGTGGGGGTTGGTGTGGGGGGGGTTTGGTGGGGTGGGTATGGTGGTGGGGTTTGGTGGGTGGGGGTTTGGTGGGAGGGTGGTTTTTGAGTGTGGGGGGGTTGTGGGTGTGTGTGGGTGGGGTTTGTGGTGGGGGGGGGTGGGGTGGGGGGGGGGGGGGGGTGGTGGGGGGGTGGGTGTGGGTGGGGTGGGGGGTGGGGGTGTTTTGGGGTGGGTGGGGGTGGGGGTGGGGGGGTGGTGGGGGGGTGTGGTGTTGGGGTGTGTTGGGTGGTGTGTGGGTGGTGGTGGTGGGGGGGGGGTGTGGGGGGGGGTTGGGGTTGTGTGTGTGGGGGGTTGGTGTGTGGTGGTGTGGGGTAGTTTTTTGGGGTTTGGGGGGGGGGTTGGGTTGGGTGGGTGGGTGGGTTTGTGGGTTGGGGGGGGGTGGTTTTGGTGTTGGTTTGGGGTGGGTGGGGGGTGGTTGGTGGGGGGGGTTGGGTGGGGGGGGGTGTGTGGGGGGGGGGTTTGGTGGGTGTGGGTGGGGGTGTGGGGGGTGGGGTTGTGTTTTGGGGGGGGTTTGGGGTGGGGGGGTTTTGGGGGGTTGGGGTGTTGGTTGGGGGGGTTGGTGGGGGGTGGTGGGGGGGGGGGGGGGGGTGTTTGGGGGTGGGGGGGTGGGGGGGGGTGGGGTTGGGGGGTTGGGGTGGGGGGGGGGGGGGTGGGGTGGTGGGGGGGGGTGGGGGGTTGGGGGTTGTGGGTGGGTGTTGGGTTGTGGTGGGGTGGTGGTGTGGGGTGTGGGGTGGGGGGGTGTTGGTGTGTGTGGTTGGGTTTTGGGGTGGTGTGGGGGTTGGTGGTTTGTTTTTGGGGTTGGGGGGGGGGGGGGGGTTGGTGTTGTTGGGGGTGGGTTGGTTGGGTGGGTGTGTGGTGTGTTGGGTGTGGTTTTGTTTGGGGGGGTGGGGGGGGGGGGGGGGGGGTTTGTTGGGTGGGGGGGGGTTTTGGGTGTTGGGTGTTGTGGGTGTGGGGGGTGGGGGGGGGGGGGGGGGGGGGGGGGGGGGTGGGTGGTGGTGGGGTGTGGGTTGGGTGGGGGGGGGGGGTTGGGGGGTGGGGGGGGGTGTGGTGGGTGTGGGGGTTGGGGGGGGTTTTTGGGTGGGTGTTGGTGTGGTTGGGGGTGGGGTGGGGGGGTTGGGGGTTGGGGTGGGTGGGGGGGGGTGTTGGGGTGGGTTTGGGGGGGTTTTTGTGGGTGTGGGTGGGGGGGGGTTGGGGGTTGGGTGGGGGTGTGTTTTACACAGACACAAGTATACACACACACACACACACACAGACACACACTCTCCCACGTTCTTACATCAGCTCCTTGGTCACATGATCAGTGCTGCACCGATTTCACTGTTTTCAAAATGGAGGAACCGAAACACGTCACATGATCTGCGTGAAGAAATCTGTCTCCGGTGGATTAGAATCAGAGACTACAGCAACGCACACACAAATACACACACAAACACACACACACACACACACATGAAGATGAAGTCAGCATGTTGTGTCTGCTTTGTTCACAACCTTTTACTTTTATAGGCTTCTTGGTGGTTCCTAGTCGTTCTGGTGTCCGGGCCTTAGTCCATGGGGTCCAGAGCTAACCCCCTGTGGACCCTCCTCCTGTGGACCCAGTCCACACACAGCATCTGGCTCTTGGGACATGGGACATCACCTCCCTGGAGGAGCCAGTGGAGGAGGCTCATCTGTTCCAGATGCCTCCTGGACGCCTCTCCTCTCTGCCCCGGGGAAGACCCAGGATACAGAGGGACCATGTCTCTTTCTGGAAACGCCTTGGGGTCCCCCCGGACAAGCTGGAGGAAGTGTGTGGGAGGGAAGTCTGGGCGTCTCTGCTCAGACTTCTGCAACGGATGAAGCGGAAGAAAACGGATGGATGGATTCTTGGACAATTATTTAAAGGCTAAAGTCACATACCCAGCTTTAAGAGGAGGGGCAGAGGGAGGAGCAATGATTGGGATGAGGGCATTTTGTCTCATATGAAGTCTCCGGAATGTGCAGCCTCACTGTTCATTTGCATAATGTGGATGTTTCCACGGCGTCAGAAAACAGGAAATCCATATTTGGCAGTGAACGCTCCGGTTTCACGTCACTGAGACGTTTTACTGCCTCTGGCTCCGACTCAAGACTGGACCTGGACCTGAACCTGGACCCATTGAGGACCGGGTCTACAGAGTCAGGACTAAACATGGGGAGGCTGCATTTCAGATTCATGCTGCTAAAATCTGGAACAGTCTTCCTGAAGATGTGAGACAGGCCTCCTCTCTGACTATGTTTAAAACCAGGTTTAAAACAGTCCTGTGTCCACAGAGGACCACAGAGGACCAGAGACCACAGAGGACCACAGACACAGAGGATCACACAGGACCACAGACACAGAGGACCACAGAGGACCACAGACACAGAGGATCACACAGGACCACAGACACAGAGGACCACAGAGGACCACAGACACAGAGGACCACAGACACAGAGGATCACACAGGACCACAGACACAGAGGACCACAGACACAGAGGATCACACAGGACCACAGACACAGAGGACCACAGAGGACCACAGACACAGAGGATCACACAGGACCACAGACACAGAGGACCACAGACAGGACCACAGACACAGAGGATCACAGAGGACCACAGACACAGAGGACCACAGACAGGACCACAGACACAGAGGACCACAGACAGAGGACCACAGACACAGAGGATCACAGAGGACCACAGACACAGAGGAACACAGACAGGACCACAGACACAGAGGACCACAGAGGACCACAGACACAGAGGACCACAGACACAGAGGATCACAGAGGACCACAGACACAGAGGACCACAGACACAGAGGACCACAGAGGACCACAGACACAGAGGATCACAGAGGACCACAGACACAGAGGACCACAGACAGGACCACAGACACAGAGGACCACAGACAGGACCACAGACACAGAGGATCACAGAGGACCACAGACACAGAGGACCACAGACAGGACCACAGAGACAGAGGACCACAGACACAGAGGACCACAGAGGACCACAGACACAGAGGACCACAGGGGACCACAGACACAGAGCACCACAGACAGAGGACCACAAACATAGAGGACCACAGAGGACCACAGACACAGAGGATCACAGACAGAGGACCACAAACACAGAGGACCACAGAGGACCACAGACAGAGTACCACAGACACAGAGGATCACAGAGGACCACAGACACAGAGGACCACAGACAGGAACACAGACACAGAGGACCACAGACAGGACCACAGACACAGAGGATCACAGAGGACCTCAGACACAGAGGATCACAGAGGACCACAGACACAGAGGACCACAGACACAGAGGATCACAGAGGATCACAGACACAGAGGATCACAGAGGACCACAGACACAGAGGACCACAGACAGGACCACAGACACAGAGGACCACAGACAGGACCACAGACACAGAGGACCACAGACAGGACCACAGACACAGAGGATCACAGAGGACCTCAGACACAGAGGATCACAGAGGACCACAGACACAGAGGACCACAGACACAGAGGACCACAGTCAGAGGACCACAGACAGGACCACAGACACAGAGGACAGATTTAGAGTTTTTAAATATGGAATCTCTCTTTTGTCTCCGGCTTCATCTGCTGAACACGACACCACAGATATTTATAACCTTTGA